CGACTAGGAGACTAGGGTGGTGGCGGCGGGGGTGCCAGCGGCTGAGTAGGAGCCGGAGGCGGGGGAGGGGAAGAGGGCGGCCGGGGCTGCGCGCGCGCAAGGCTGGAACATGAGCCGGACTTGACCGCGAGGCGGAGGCAAGAGCCACCGCCCCCTCTTCCCCTCCCCCGAGTGAGGCGGCGCAGCGGCCGGAGAGGGATGGGGGGCGCCCGCCCAGTCTGAGCCTCGCCGCCGGCGCCTTCGGCTCACGCAGCGCTTCCCGCGGGCCGCCACTGCGCACCCTGGGCCACATCAGCCTCCTCCTGACGGGTGCACCCGGGTCGGCGAGGAAGGGGCACCCGTCCGAGTGGGTGGGGCGGGCAGGGTACCTAAGGTCACCAGCTCGGCTGTAGAGGCAGGGGCGGCCGAGGCGGAACTGCGGAGTTGCTGGGTCCACCGACCCTTACCCTCAGCGGGAGAAGTAACCGTAAGTCTCAGCTTCGCGGTACGAATCTGTTTGAGGATGCCTCTACCCATTTGTGGCTCCGAGTTCAGAGCTATCTAGTTCACACCCTCCTGGATCTACTAGGAGTGTGCCTGTCTCCTGTTTTGGAGCATTGTCCCTCTGTCTGTCCCCATCCCTGAACAGGCAGCATTCTCCGCCCACAGGGCTTTTCTCCCAGCGAATTTGCAAGCCTCGGGTTTTCGTGACGCGTCCCATCCTCCCCATCTGGATGCATCTCCTTGTCCCTCTGTCCTCAAAGGATCTGTGTCCTTCCTCGCAGCCTCCCTCCCACCCCCCCATCCCCCCATCCTTTGAGACGTGGAAAGCCACGGGTTCTGCCGACCTCGGGGGTTAGAGACAGTCTTGAGAAGCGGATGGGTAAAAGTGCTCTGCAGGGCTGTGATGGGTGGGGATAGGTGCAGATGGCTCCAGTAAACCTTTATTTTCGCAGCTTCTGCCACCAAAACAAAAGAATGGAGCGCTCCCCTGTATTCTGATTGTTCTGCCTATGTATGAGCTGTTTTCTGTACGTAGCTGTTTGAGTCGCAGGAAATTGAAACTAGAGCTGTAATAAAGCATCTCCTGAGGAGATTTTGAGAATTAGTCTCCGAAGCTCGATTCACGCGGAATGGCATATCGAACAATCTTGTATTGAAATGACCATCCATTTCAGAAGAGCTTTACTGGTAGAGCTGATAGATAAATGTAAAGATAAGAGTCTGCTGTTTCAAGTAGTGTATTTTAGATACCTTTAAATTTTATTGTTTTAATTTTCATCTATTTCTTAATTTGTGAAGTATGTGGGTATGTGTAAGGTGTAAAAATCTTTGTATTGGAAGCTTTTGCTTTGTTACAAGCTTTTGCTTTGTTTCTTTTGAGACAAGAGACTTTTAAAGATCATATTAGATTGTATTTGATAATTATTTTGAATTCTTAATTCCAGAGAAATCTTTTTTTGTATCAGCCACTCACAGATGTTACCCACATTGGTGCCTGTGACCTTCCTGCTTCTTAAACTGTGAATGTCTTCAGTGTATTTTCAGAGTTTGGAACTAGACGTTTTTTCTCATTAGAATTTGATTTGCTTTTTAAACTGCTACTGCAGAACTTTCCAGAAATTAGATTTAAAAATAATTTTAATGCTGTCAGTGATTGGACAATAGCTCTTATGTGACTTTATGCATTTGCTACTTTTTAGAGCACTATAGGAAGCAAACGATGATTTAAGAATAATTTTACTGTGTACTGCAGGTTGTTATTCTGCAAACTACTGTGTAGTGTAGGCTGGTAGCTTTGGTATTTTGTATTGCTGAAAAACATTGTTATTTCATTAAGAAAGATGGGTGTATTTAATGATTTTTCCCCCCAACCTCCTTTCAGCAGTTAATTTTGGGCTATTATCTGATTTGTAACTTCTCACTGTTCACAGATTTTAATTTGAAGTAGGCTCAGGAGATGTAGTTCCAACTCTCTCTCTGGAAATGTACTTAGCACAGAAGCCAAGCACTGTACAGAGTTGAGTGTATTATTAAGGGTGTGGCTTTTGCTTTCTGTAAAATTGTTCAGTTTCTGAATAAGAGTAGGGTGCTCTAGTGAGGTGATGGGCGCTATCTTGGAGAAGTCTTAGAAAAAATGTTGTTGATTCTCTCTTTTACTTGGGGTAGGATGGGGAAGATAGGACCATATTTTCCTATTTCACTGTTCCCTTGACCACTACACCGAGAATTTTGAGTTTTCAATATGTAAGGAGTCTGAAACTGTGCAGACTGTGCTGTAAACAAGGGCTCTAACAGGTAGGTGACTCCTGAAACATGGGAGGGAAGTTTTGTTAGCCACTCTTTTGTACTCCTATGGCACTGCCCACTTCTCAAAGAGTGAGTTTTCTTTCCTCTTTCTTTTCTGGGGTATGCGCTCAAACTTCTGAAAGTGAAATATGTGTCTTTACAGCTTGCTTGTAGATAAAAGTGCAAGCTCATTTTCATATATAAGTAAATGGAAGAACTATGAATTAAGTTAATCTGAACATCCTTGAAATGAAGTTGGAAAAGATTCCTCAATGCTTTAGGTAATTTTTCCCCCTTTGAGGATGCATATAACATTTATTTAGATTAAGTTTTAAAATATTTCCTTCAAATATTTGACACATTTGCCAAAAAGGATTTGGGAGTGGACTAAGTCACTATTAAAGAGACCAGTCTGGGGGGACTTTTTATACATTGATCTAAAAATGCTTAGGTTTTTCATTTACTTTTCAAAGTGGCTTCCTTGGGGGAATGGTAATTTTTGGATTCTCAGTTTATTTTTCAGACAACCTCAGACTTCCTCTTTCTTTTCCAGATTCTCTCTCTCTTTCCTTTCCTTTCCTTTCCGTTCCGTTCCGTTCCTTTCCTTTCTTTCACTCCGTCTCACTCTGTCGCTAAGGCTGGAGTGCAGTGGTGTGATCTTGGCTCAGTGCAACCTCTGCCTCCCAGGGTCAAGTGATTCTCCTGCCTCAGCCTCCCGAGTAGCTGGGATTACAGGCGCCTGCCACCACACCCAGCGAATTTTTGTATTTTTAGTAGAGACGAGGTTTCACCATGTTGGCCAGACTGGTCTCGAACTCTTGAACTCAGGTGATCCCCCTGCCTTGGCCTCCCAGAGTGTTGGGATTACAGGCGTCAGCCACTGCACCTGGTCTTCCGGATACTTTCATGTCTATTTCATTTCCATAAACCTTTATTGAGCATCTGCTGTGTGTGCCAAGCACTTCATTAGGTTCTGAAACTACAAGGGTAAATTATTCAAGGTTCCTTTCCTCATTGAGGTTACCAGTCTAGATATTTGACTGTGATTTCTATTCACTTGCCTTTATTGGCTTCTCTTACAGGTTTTTAAGCCACTTGACCCTGTTTCTAGATTGTTTCATATTCTCTGTGTAAGAATATGCAGCCGGGCACTGTGGCGCACGCCTGTAATCCCAGCACTTTGGGAGGCCGAGGTGGGCAGATCATGAGGTCAGGAGATCGAGACCAGCCTGGCCAACATGGTGAAACCCTATCTCTACTAAAGATACAAAAAACTAGCTGGGCTTGGTGGCACGCCCCTGTAATCCCAGCTACTTGGGAGGCGGAGGCAGGAGAATCACTTGAACCTGGGAGGCGGAGGTTGCTGTGAACTGAGATCTCGCCATTACACTCCAGCCTGGGTGACAGGGTGAGACTCCGTCTCCAAAAGTAAATAAATAAATAAATAAATAAGAATAAGCACGATAGATGCCATTTACTGAGTGCCTAATTTGTGCCAGTCACCGTGCTAAGTGCTTTACCTACATTATCTCATTTAATCCTTAGAACAGTCCCAAAATATATTTTATCTCCATTTAAAGACCCCCCCCCACACACAAATAAACTAAACTAATAATAATAATAAAAAGCGATACAGAATCTGGTGTATAGTATTACTGGATTTTTTTTTTTCCTTGTAATATTCTTGAAAAGATTTGACTTACAGTCCTTACAGGGGAGAAGCTGTCATATAGTCATTAACAGATTTTAATTCTCTAATATTGCTTTGAATAGAAAAATCCTAATTTCATAAGGTGCTAGTGTATTTTGCGTTCTAAAGCAGATAATTTGGCTGAGCTCGGTGGCTCATGCCTGTAATCCCATAACTTTGGGAGGCTGAGGCAGGCGGATCACCTGAGATCAGGAGTTCAGTACCAGCCTGACCAACATAGAGAATCCCCATATCTACCAAAGATGCAAAATTGGCCGAGCATGGTGGCACATGCCTGTAATCCCAGCTACTCGGAAGGCTGAGGCAGGAGAATCGCTTGAACCTGGGAGGCGGAGGTTGCGGTGAGCCGAGATCAGGCCACTGCACTCCAGCCTGGGCAACAAGAGCAAAACTCTGCCTAAAAATAAATAAATAAGGCAGATAATTATATACTATCAAAATTAATTTTCAGTCATTGTTTAAACTTTTGAAAAGACATAATTCTAAAGTTCATTATGGTTAACTGTAACAGATCTTCAGGCATGTTTACCTTGTTTTCCCTCTAGTTCAGCAATGGGACCACAAGCTTTTAAGATGTGCTAGAAATGTGTGTATTCTCCAGGAAGGGTAGAGTATTGAGCCATGTGAAATCTATTCAGCTTTAAAAATTTTTGAGCTTAATTTTGGCAACTAAGGGCCTTGGAGAGTTTTAGTTTCTGCAATGAAAGTGTATTCTTTCAGATTTGATAATTATTATACTCATTATTGGTAGGATATATGCTTTATCAGCAATTTGATATGGTTCAGTCTAATAATTTTTCGGCACTCAGCATTTTTTAAAACATGGTTTTCCACTGTCAACTGTTTTCTCCAAAAGTCTTATTTTTACCCTAAACATTTGATTCTATCATTACTTTTTAACCAAAAACTGTTAGCAGTTTGCTATTCTTAGGAAAATGATTTTTACTACTGGTTATGCACTCTTCTGTTTTTAGGACTTTAGAGCAGATGTTTAATACTTGAGTTCCTAAGAAAGTTAATCCTTGATATTTTTCTGTCTTCAGTCTGACATACAATTTTAACTTATCATAGACAGTCCTTCCCTTTCAGTGTAGCAAAGTCCTTGCTACTCAAGTCACTATATTTTTCTCGTTGAAACAGTACTGGAGGTAGAATTCCTGTTCAAGGACATTAACAATGACTAAGTTATAAATGGGCTAGGTGCTGGGACTACAAAGATGAGTAAGTCAAGATTCCTTTCCTCACTGAGCTGTAAAATACTCATTTAAAATCCATGAAGAGAAGGGAGAGTTCATTGAGATGCTCTTAGTTCTCCAAATAGGCATAAAAACATTGCCCTTCTTGTTAATGTGTCCCTTCAGAGTATGGTAAAGGAAAGTATGTAAATCAACATATTCAGTCAGGGTTTTCTTTCTGTTTCTTGGCCTTAGGCAATAGGTGATTCACATTTGCTCTATCACTAGATGTTCTATATCACATCTTTATTT